CAACCTGATTGATTCTATGACTCTATGCTGGAAAGTAACACGAACCAACTCAGCAGCACAGCAGTGCCCAGCAGGATAAGCAGCTGTCTGTAAGGAACACAGGAAACACAGATCACGTTCACCTAAACTAAGCCACAGTGCAGAAATTGCTTCCTTCATGTCTCTTTGGAGCAGCTTTCCCAGAGAAAGAAACAAAGGGAGGATGAATAGTGACAGTATGGAGACAGCATGGTTTAGAAAGGGCTAATCCTACTCACAGTTCTTCGACCTGTTTCATACGCAGAGATACACTGCCGACCTCCTTAGTTATGAGAGTCCTGCACAGACAGGGAGCACAGCAAATGCATGCCAAAAATTAGTCAGATTAACAAAAATAATGAAAGCAGCAGCTCCATCCATGGGTTGTCTGCAGTAGGAGATGGGTAAGAGTTCACATTTAAATGGAGAAAATTAGGTGTCATTCAGAAGCAAATGAAGCAAATCAGACTAGGAGTACAATTCATGTAAGAAACCTCAGCAGTACAGTTGAGCTCTCTCTATAAGGTCTCATTTTCTGGTCACTGTGCCATGGGATTGGAAACTAAAAGGTGGTCCCCTCTCCTTGGCTCTAAAACGAGGCACCTTGTTCTAGTTATTAGAGCAGCAAACCCACGGAGGAAGTTACAGATAATTAAAATCCTGACCAATGTGTCACAATTTTCCAGCACCTTTTCTTCTCGTTGGTAGAGGCTTTATTTGTTGTGGGTTGTTCGGGGGTTTTTTTATGTGTGTGATCTAATTTTATAATTCTTGAGCCAAAGTTAGTCATTACTGTATGCCACTGCAGTAACAGGTGACTCAAAACAACTGAGTGGGAAGTTCTCACAGAGAATGGCAGTGTAGCTGCGCAAACAGATGGGAGTACACGGAAAACTTCCAGCTTTGGCTTCCAAGTGGTTTGATAAGATGAGGCAGGAGCTCACAGCTATCACTCACAGCCTTGGCCTGAACTAATCTACAGCCACCATGTGCTTTAGGAGGTCATTACCAAGCAGCCTTGCAGTTCTCTCTCTGCAATGGCAGGTTGCTCTTTTTTAAAAGAGACCCAAAAAAATACAGAAAGAAGGGGGAGCACATTTTAGGTCCTGTAATGGCAACAAATATTAGCACCACATTTCAAGTAAGAAGTAATGAGCCAGCACCAAAGCAGTCACAGCTCTGAAGGAGGGGACACCTCCAGAGGCAGCCCTGTATAGGGAGAGCACTGTACTTCATGGAATCAAGTTTCAGAAAGCTTTTCAAAACAGATCACACATTAAGAAGTGACAATTACAAATACAAGAGCTGCTTAGGACATATATAACTCACAAACGAGTTTAAGTAGTTAGGTACAACAACAAAAGGAACACATATATACTCAAGTCAGACAGTAAGTTGAGCTCTAGTGTCATGAGTTTTACAGTTAAAAAAATGGGAAAAGCAACAAGAAAATCTAGAGTAAGATTAAAACAACTGAACCTGGTGCCCCTGGTAGGAGCCCCTTGTTTCGCTCCAATTAATTACTCCCTAGTGTAAGAAGCATTAACCTAAGCTTCTGGCATGTGTGAGGCCAAGACCAAGGCAGCTAATGCTGGGGGATGTCATATCTCATCAGTTAGATCTTACTGGTTGTCAATCTGCTCCTGCCGCAGCGCGATGCTCCCCTGCTCCTCCAGCAGGTTCTCTCGGGACGCAGACTGGGCAGGATCCAGTTTTTTCACATAGGCAGCAGGTACAAATCCCTGACGGTCATTAACTTCAACCTTCCACCAGTCCTGGAAGGGAAAAACCCAAACAACTACTATGAGGCTGTCATCAAGTACAAAGCATGTGTTGGGTGACTGAATGCTGCAAACCAGAGGTTTCTGCTAATCCAAGAAAACCAGTGATGCTCACAACAGTTTGCTCTTTTTCTGGAGATTATTTCAAACAGTTTCTGGAAGACATATAGGTTTAATTTCCATGTCTCCACTTGTGCTTGGCCAGAAATTCCTCCACAGTAGGGAAATAAGGTTTCTCACAGACATGTGCCCTATAGCATATGTTGTTTATCTAGCTTGGAAAAGTTGGCAGCTGTAGAGGAGTCATGGGAGTGAACTGGAGAAGTTCAGCTCAAGAGCTGAATGAGAACATGGGATAAATGTGCCAATGCTTTAGCTTCTTGGAAGGCTCATCTTAAAAAAATAAACACCAAAACATGCCTCACAGCACACACCCCACCACGGGAGCCAGGCAGGTCAGCGAACCAGGAGCTTTACCTTGTTGGTGCTGTTGAGTAAGGTGAGGATATCTCCCTTCTTCATAGTCACCTCCCTGGGACTCTTCTCTTGGTAATCATAGAGTGCCAGTACCAGCTCTTTTCCAGTTTCATCATCTGTGGGAGCAACTTGTTGCTAAAATAGGAGCACAAGAAAAATGACTTGTTCCATGTTTACTACAATCAACGGAGCTGTCCTAAAATAGACTTCAGCCTTAATTAAAGCTACTGTAGTACCTTAAAATTATTCTTGTTGAAACAAATGAGTCCATTTAGACTCAGTTTCGGTGCTGTCTGGGCCCAAACCTTGAAAACCATCATGTTATGCTATTTCCTTCCAGAGCAACACAGCTGCCCTGTTATACTCAAACCAGACTGCTGATTTTTTTGGAGAAAATCAATTACAGTCTGCAATAAGCTCTTAAACCAAACAACTCTTATAAAGCTTTGTCTTTACCTTTAGCTGACCCAAGAGCTTTAGCAACATGATTAGTATCTTTCCTTACCCTGCACGACTGGGCCTGTTCCCTCAGTGCCTGGATGCTGCTGCCGTAAGCAGAGAGATCAGACATCAAAGCTTCATGTTTCTTCAGCAGAGCCTGAAAGTGAATGATAAAAACAACATGTACACATTGCCATTTTACAAGCACTGCTCTGCTTTAAACACATACTCCATATACAGGGAGTGTGGGTTTTCAGAGCTGCCAGTCTTGTGCCTCTCATGAGTCACAGGATAGATAGTGGCCTAAATGCTTCTGGTGCTCTGCTTATCTCAGCAACATTCTTTTTGTTCTGACCAGAAATAACTCCATTTCCAGAGTGGTATGTGCTAAGTTTCAAAGTGTGCCTTGAAACTGCACTTGGTATTGATGAAATGTCAGGCAGCACTGCCTGGGGTGTGGTGGGTTGACTGCAGAATGATACCAGTAACACAATTCCAGACAAGAAAATTACTTCCAGACTACTGAACTACTGAAAACCAGACCCATAGTGAAACGCTTATCCCATGAGGAATTTGCTGGTATTATTCTCCTTCTACTTACAAAAACAAACTTTCATAAAGGAGTGAATACAGATGCAAAGCTTCCTTGAAATTATATACTGAACAGCAAAAGACACAGGAAAAATTACCACCCTTTAACTCAGAGCCAAAATTCAGCTCAATGCAAGAATCTTCTGCCCTTATTGTTAAGAATCCTGAGACTAGCAGAGGTCTTTATTTTTTACGGCTAGATAAATCCTCACTGTGTTTGTTGTTTAAATCAATTTCGCATAGCCTCAAATACCTCAGCAGAGTCCTCATCTTTCCCATAGTCTGTACTGCCTACAATGGGCTCCTTTTCCCTCATCCAGGATTCAGCCTCATTAGCATCAGCAAAGTACTGCTGAGCCTGCAGGGAATCCTCCAGGTCCTGCCGACGCTGCGATGCTTTAGCTTTCAGAGAGTCCCACTTCTGGTTTAGCTCATTCAGCTTGATTTTCACATCCTCAGCTGCAAAATGTCCTAGGTAACAGAAGCAGAGGGAACTGAAGGACTTCAGGAGACATAAATAATACATGCTGAAAGATTACTTGTCCTGTTAAAAGTCAAAAATTAGAACAGTTCAAACCTATGTAGCCCTATTCTGAACTAGAACAATGAAAGCACAACTCAGCTGGTTCTTTGGGCTCATGCTGGGAAACTGTGCCTGTCAGTCAAACTGTACCAGGATATTTGCATCATTAGGCATAAAAAAAGACATCAAAACATTTCTTCTCAACAATGAAACAGGAAAGGTCATCTCTTTCCAGTGGCAGAGTTCTGGCAGCAGGCAAGTGTTATTTCAGGCCAGCACTCTGAACCCTGGGGTCAGGGGATTTTTATGCAGCATTTTGGTGTCAAGAACACCCAGGCAGAAATAAATCTGCCTTATTTAACAGCAGGCATGCCTTTTATTTGTGGATAATTCTCTCTCCATCACGACTATGTATCTCTGATAGAAGCCTTTAATAGACTTAAAAACAAAGACTAAATGATAGCACAAAGTCACTGAACAGAGGGCTCATGTGTGTTTGTCAAGAGCAGATGGAGGTGTGTGAAAATCCTAACAGGTTCCCATCAAGGAAGCTCTTTCTATTTTCAGGTGAAAGAATGACCAGAAGTTGACCCTGTTGGCAGGTACCTGTCTCCTGCCTGGATACAAACAGCCCATGATTCTTACTTTTATAGGGCCAGAAAAACTCCAGCACAAAAATTGAGAGACTCAACGACTGATCCAGCCACACTCCAGAACTATGGAGACATACCCTCTTCCACCATAGCATTTCCTTTCTGTGTGACTGCTTTGATCCGAGGCTCATGGCCTGCAATCTCGGCCTGCAAGGCCTGGTGTTTCTTCAGCAGATTCTGAACACCAATCAAGTCTTTGCCTGAAAGATACAAAATAATTCACCAGTTAAATGAGAAGCACTAGACTAAATGTTGCAACCAGTGCTAGACAAACTCCCAGCCTAAGAACTACCACAATGAAGACAAGAGTGCTATGGAAAGCAAGTTACTATCAGAATTGTAGTGTAACAGAATAATGGCAAACGTGTAACTCCGGGCAATGCTAACTGCAACAAATAGCTCAGAAATTTCCAGGGAATGTTCTATGAAGATACAAGTTGTAATAGAGCAATTCTGACACCTAAATCCCAGAGCTACCAGGAAGGACCAACCTCGGTTTGTCGAAGCTGCAATAGGTTCTTTTTCCCTAATCCAGGTCTCTTCATCCTCAATGTCACGGAAAAGCTGCTGCAAGCGAAGAGAATCTGCAAGTTTCTGCTTTCGAGCTACCATGGGATCCTTCAGAGCTTCGTATCGAGCCACTAGAGCTTCCTGTTTCTTCTTGATGTTGTCAGCATCGAAGTGTCCTGCCTCCTGGAACTGCCGTGCCTGGATGGTGATGCCATCGATGCGGTCCTGCAATGCACCCACAACACGACACTCAGCACACTAGGGAAATGCAACTGGGTTTAACCTGCCAATGCCATAAAACAAATGAAATGTCCTTGAAGTAACACTAACTCTACAGATGTGCCCCTCTAGACAAACCACTTTTCAATGCTAACAGCTGATAGTTCCAGTTGTGGGAACTGAATTTTGTTGATTTTCTTGCTGTGGATTTAATTCCTGTAAAGATCATTTGCAAATGAAGGAAGCATTTGCTGTTAAGTTCTGCATTTAAGATCTGATCTGTTCTCCCTCCACTGTCATTTCCTAGAGCCACATGAAAACAAACTGAACAAGAATAAGCTGTTTGCACATGGAGAGTCTAAGGGAGAATTATTTCCTATGAAAAGTGCTGCACAACTTTATAAGTTGTTATTCACAGCATAAAACAAAGCTTATTTTTGTAAAAGTCACGAAGATAATGTTCTTAGAGACATACATGTTACATTTCAGCTGAAAATTCTTTTTGCTAAGTGAACTGAAAGACCCAAAGATACAGAAGTTATGAAAGTTATGCTAAGGTCTCTGAGCAAACAGACCTGAAAGGGCAGGAAGAAAAATTATCTCCCTCACCTGATGGGCAGCAACATCTGCCTCTAGCAGGGCATGTTTCTTCTGAAGATTCTGAACATTGGTGAGATCTTTTCCATAGTCATCAGAAGCCAAATGTCCCTCTACTTCATAGAGCCACAGCTCAATGTCCTCCACATTGCGGTTGAACTGCTGCTGTTGGTTGGCTTCACGCAGCTTGATACCTGGCACAGACAGTGGCAAGAGGAAAGTAGGACAACTTACTTAAGTTTCCCACTTCATTAAACTCACTTCCTGCCTCCTCCTGGCCAAACTCTCCAGAAAATTGCCCCTATTCTCCTGAGCAAATTGTACCTTTGAGCTCAGTAGCCTCCAGAAGTTTTTTCCACAAGCTGATAACCTCATTCATGCGAGCTGCCACCTCGTCAGATGCATAGTGCTTGACATCAATCAGCTTCTGCCCAGCCTTCTCCAGCCCATCAATACGACTCTGGTTAGCAGAAAGCTCTGCTTCAAAAGCCTGGTGTTTCTGAACCTTGCCTTGCAAGTTTGATGGATCCTACAGATGAAGAAAGAAGGTTTCAATCCAAAATTAGCATCTAAAGGTCTCTGAAGAATAAATCCATACACATGCCAAGACATCACCAGAGGATTTGGTGCCAAAAATACACCTTAAATCAGAACACTTCAGCTATTAAACAACCATGACCACAGCACGATGGGAAATCTCCCTTGGAGTCAGGGAGAAATTAGAATTCCTCCTGTTGCCATTAATACCTCTGAGTATCAGCAACATTTTGGCTGACACTGCTTCATATCATTGGGCTGATTACATTAAGCCTAGTATTGCCTTAAAAACTGTCTAACATTGCTCTTTGTGTTTACCTTGTATGCCTCATCAGTTGCAGTTTTCATCTTTTCATTAACCCAACTCTTGAGCTCATCAGAGTCTCTGAAAAACTGCTGCAGATGGAAAGAATCTGCCAGCTGAGCTCGGCGGTACATGGCTCTTTCATGCAGGGCATTCCGGCGGCTCAGCAGCTGCAAAACAGAAAGTAAAAGGTTTTTAAACTCTTCAAGCTTCTAAGAACCACCACTGTATTTGTACTTTTGGGAAAGCTCTGCTGACTCATCCTATATTGAAGCCACACCATGTCAAATAACAAAGCAGAACATGATGTAAAGTCTAAAGTCCAAACCTCTTTTGGATACTTACAGCATCTCTGCGTGTAGCCACATCATCCATGGCATAATGGTTATTCTGAATCAGCTTGGTAGCAAACTCATCTAATGCCTAAAGAGAAAACAGGTTTCCATTTATTTGGTGCTGCAGAAAATTGTTTATCATAGAGATAAACAGATATCACACAGAACTAGCAGAAAGCCATTAGAGCTGTCATTACACCCTTTTCTATCTGTACCATCATCATCTTCCATGTGCAGGAGTGCAGGTTTTTAGCAATCTTCACCCACACTTGTGCTGGGGTGATATGCAAGCACTGGGTCACCCAGCTCTCTGAGGCAGCAATT